TATAAAACAGAGTCTGACTTTGCATTTAAACAAAGGAACTACCCTTTGGAAGAATAGAACAGAACCCAAAGTCTAGCATTAGAACATACTTATAAATGTATGAACATTTATGCATTTATAAATTACATAATAATCACCAGTAAAATGCTGTTGAATAAATGAAAAAAACTATTAAAATAAAATCAACAAGACCTGAGCTGCTCAGATTAAGAGTTATTTGATTTGATTCAGGCAAGTCTACTCAGAATTTTACAGAAACGTGTGCGAGTAAGGGAGAACAGCAAATACCAAGATGCTTAGAAATAACTCACCATTGATGATTGGAGGCATTGAAAGGACAACACCGTTGCTATCATAGATAACTGGGTACAAGGGTTTATTTTCAATGATATGCAAATAATGTTTAAGGTGGTTGTCAGTCTGAAAAAAAGTCAAATAAAATTATTTCTACCACTATAATTCGTTTACATACCAATGTAATATTTTAAAAGAGGAGAAACTGTCAGAAAAACATTAAAAGAATTTCAAACTGCACAAATCTCTGAATTCATAAGATTTGCTAATATAAATTAATGTTTCAACATTCTTATACAACCTCATCTCCTACTGGGGAGAGATGAGAACACAATTGAGTCATTGTTCAGAAGAGAAAACAGATTTGAACTGGAATACCCAAAATATCTCAAACAAAACAGATTATCACAAAACTATTTAGATAAATAGGAAGAAATCACTTGCAAATTAGACCAAAGATAACAACAGCTGCTTTTTCCAAAATGCCCCCTTTTTCTATTTGTTACATTCAATTTTAAATGATTACTGCATTCATTTTTAATGTTCGACTCTAAAATGCTAATAATGGGAGGCAGACAGTTTATAACAGCACTTCCCACGAAAAACAAACAAACAAACAAAAAAGAAACCTAGCTAAATCTGTCTTCCTTAAAATTGGATGAGTTTCAATTACACCCAAATACAAAGATTACACTGCGGTATGGTCTACTTTAGTGGTTCTCAATCCAAGCAGTACATTTAAATCATCCCAGAGGTGGTTAAAAAAAAACAATAAACAAAAGAGAATTATGTCCAGGTCCCATTCTAGATCAGATAAATCATGCCAAGCTCAGATACTACTATTTTTTTTTTAAGGATCCATTAGATTTTCTTAATTTCGAGAGTTGATTTGAAGAATTTTCGTAGTTTTTACAAAGCTACTGTATAACCAAAAATATTACTTACCTTGTAGATGTTCATCAGTTCACAGGCTGTATACTCCTTGCCCTTATTTAGAGGCCTGAACTTGATATCTGAAGGGCGCTTTGCAGTGTATGTAAACGGACCTGACAAAGTGTCCAAATCATGGGTACCAATAGCAACCAGGGCTCTCTTCCTAACCATCGAGAAGGCAGGGGAAAGAGAGAGGAAGAAAAGGAAGAAGAGAGAAAGAGATTTGAATATTCCAAAACAGAGATTCTAAAAATAATATAAACTAATTATTTTTTATTTTTATTTATTTATTTATTTTGAGATAGAGTCTCACTGTGTTGCCTGGGCTTGAGTGTAGTGAATCATCAAAGCTCACGGCAACCTCAGACTCTTAGGGTCAAATGAGCCTCCTGCCTGAGCTTCCCAAGTAGCCACCATGACTGGCTAATTTTTTAATTTTTTGTAGAGATGGGGTCTTGCTTGTTGCTCAGGCTGGTCTTGAACTCCTGGGCTCAAGCGATCCTCTCACCTCAGCCTGCCAAAGTGCTGGGATTATAGGAATGAACCACCAGGCTCGGACAGACTACATGTTTCAAAAAAGTCATGTTATTTCATCTTTTCCCTAAAACAATCTATTGCTACTATATGGCATCTTTAGTGGAATAAAATGAATAAATTCTCATAACCATTAAAAATAATTAAAAAATTATATTAAAAATAATAAAAAATTATAAAGCTACTCAAAACATATTATTTCAGTAGCTGAAGAAAATCCCTTGCCATTATGATTCTCCAAATACTGTTACTAGAATATGTTCAAAGTTGGCAATTCCTTCACCTTCTTTTAACCTATTTCTTCTTG